CCCCCCAGCCTGAGAGATGGAACACTTGGCCAATTAGTAGGAGGGAAACACACCAGCCACTCGGTCTTATCTGGATTTGAGAACTGTATGCAACGGAATTTCATTTTAATGCATGCCAATTAGCGTACATTCAAAGTGACAATTATTCCAGTAGTTAAATGCTGTCTATCTCCCCGATAGGGCGATTCTGGGGAACTTATAGATAGAAGGTAAAAGGATGAATAGAAAAGAATAGGAAAAAAATATAATAGAAAATTTTAAATCTCTGGACATTAAAAATTTAAAACTATGCAAAAAACAGAATCAAGGGGATGGATAGCACTAGGATGAGGCCTTTTTTCATGGTCAACCATCTCTATCTATTCAAGTGGTGCGATTCATACATAATATAATAAATGTAATTATACGTGTAATCTTTATAGAAATAAATATTTATGCTTGTTTGTGGCTTAGTGTACCACAAACTTGCAGGAAATAAAATCATTGTGCCTTGTTAACCATTAGATTCCTGTTTAAAATATGGTGAAAATCTAATGAGTATGGTTTATTTACTGAAGTATGAATGGACTGATGTGATATCTACAATATTGAACTTAATTCCCACTATTGCACTGATACAGAATTATGAGGATTACAATCTTGACATACCTAGAGGGCAAACAGTTGAGAAATACATTTTAATACTACCGGTACCTTAGGCTTGGTTTATCTTAAAAATTGCTTGCAGTTGGGTAGTCGTAGTGTTACCAATCAACATGTATTGTGCAATTTTCTGTCTGCACCTCTTTAATAGATGTTGTATATATGTGAGATTTTTAAAAGGATGGTTCATCTTATGTTCTCAGAATTCTGAAGATACGGGGTACAGGCTTGAAGTCACACAAGCTATTAATATTTTTCTTTGTAAAAATGCACATCTTTTAAACAAATAAACTATGAAAAATGTTAAAGCTTTTTAGTATATCTAAATATAAACTTGTCACATCTATCTCACTGTTTGTCACCTGAACTGCTAAGTTGTATATGAACAAGTTAAAGAGCACTGGTATGAATACAAATACCTGGGGAATTCTCTGTTTTAATTTAATTTATTTGTATCACATCTTTATTATTTTTACAAATAACTTAAGGCAGCAAACATATCCAGCAGCAAACGTATCCAGCACTCCTTCTTCCTCCTATTTTCGCCACCACAACCCTGTGAAATGAGTTGGGTTGAGAAGTGTAACTGGTTCATGGCTGGCTTTCATGGTTAAGGTGGGAGTAGAGTTCACAGTCTCCTGCTTTCTAGCTTTGTGCTTTAACCACTAGTCCATTCTGGCTGTACAGGTGTATTGTTCCTATTGTGCTAGTTAAGGAAAGGGGAGTAGAAAATTAGATAAAACAAGGGATGGGCAACACATAAGATAAAACTAACATGTACTTCCTCAAACTCCATTTGCAATCCATAAAGCATTCTAAGATTTTGCCCTGAATTTCATAGACACAACCACTCAATTTTTCTAGAGCAGTGATGGTTAACTTTTTCAGCACTGAGTGCCAAAACTGGAGCAGCTGGCCGGTACGTATTTGTGTGGCAGACAGCTGCTCTCTTCCGGTTTTCATCATGCACATGCGTGCCGGTCAGCTGGTCTTCATGACAGAACCCGAAAGACAGCATTGACCAGTGTGCAGGCACGCCGGAACCCAGAATAGCAGCTGGCGATGGTGCACATGCCCACAGAGAGGGCTCTGTGCCACCTCTGGCATGCATGCCATAGGTTCGCCATCAGTTCCAGAGCCCAAAGCTTGTATGAAAATATAGTGGGTATGGAAGTACAAACATATATGGAAGGCAAAATGTTCCCACTCCAAGTCTCAAAATCCTCTAGCACTTTCATACCTACCTAACCAAGGATTTTAGCTCTGCCTTCTTTGGTAAAGTTATCACTAAGACCTTCTGAAATTGGGGCCTGAGTTATTACATCCAACCTCAGCAAGGACTAATTGGGTGACCTTGGGCCAGTCATTCTCTCTCAGCCCAACTCACCTTACATGTTTGTTGCTGTGGGGAAAATAGGGGGAGGAAGGTATGTTGGATATGTTCACCACCTTAAGTTATTTGTAAAAATAATAAAGGTAGGATATAAATTTAAAAAATCTATACAGTTCAAGTGTATGTATTTCAGTTAATGTTATCAATAAATGAATGTGGTGATTATGAGGGGCTTTAGATGCTACATTTGTTCATATCACTGCAGTGGACCATATAAACATTTCCATACAATGGAAGTATAATTCATTTTGTGGACTGAAAAAAATTGAATGCAGTATATCCAAAATATAGGTACATCCTCTGAACTTCTGTCCTGATAAGACCTAATTTTTTTCTCTCCCCCTCAATGTATTACAACAGCTCCTTTGCTTGCATAATAAAAGGGGAAAAGCAACAGGAATCCCAATAAAGGGATAATAGCTGTATTTGCTGTGGAATTTATATTAACTGGACTACTAAACACTTGAAAAAAATGCAGCATATGTTAGGCCTATCATAATCGGCCTCCAAATATTTCATATAGTCACTAGATGGCTGCAAAATAGCTAGTTTTCTGTATTTCTTTATGACTAAATATTGCAACCCTAACATATTGTATACAGTATATCTGCAGCAGAACATACAGTATTCAATATGTGTGTGAAAGAGGTTTATACAAACTGTACCAAGTATGCTGATATAAAAAATATTAAGATTTCTTCATTGATTATAAATACCTTTTATTCCTCTCTAGGACAAAAATAGTTTTGCAAATCGGTACTCCACGGTAACTTACTAGAACAAATAAATAGACTCATTCGTTCATTCAACCACTCAACGGGGAAAACAACAAAACCCTTTTTTCTGGCGAAAGGTCCAGATACACTAGTTATTTCCATAGAAACTCGCTTTCCCGGCAAGCTTTGCCTTTGCTCTGAGCATGCGCTCTGCTCCCTGAGCTGTCGCTTGCTTGGCAGTAACCGAGGTGGGTGTCGCCGGCGGCGCAAAGGCGCTCGCTATGGAGTCCTACGATGTGATCGCAAATCAGCCGGTGGTGATTGATAACGTGAGTCCGAGCATAATTGTGTGTCTGCAATGTGATAAGGTGGAGATGGGGGGAAGGGGAGGCGCTGCGATTGGCACGGTGGGTTTTTTTTGCTCCTCATAGAAACCAGTCAGCGGATCTGCTAGCCGGTGGTTTTCTACTCCCTCCTCCCCACCCCCGCCGTCTCCGGGCGGTCCTCTGTCCCTCGCCATCTCCAACCGAAGTTGGGCTCTTTCCTTCTCCTCCTCCTGGATGACTCAGGCCCACGTTCCTGTTGGTGGATGCCTTTGCCATTGAATGGCAGAACGGCGCAGCCTGCAGAACAACGGAACAGGTAAATCCACGCCCTGTCGAGCTCCTCGCCCTCTGATTGGTCCCCTTCTGCTGATTGTCGTTGCAGCGTCATCGGTTCGCGTTTCGCGAGGGAGATTCCCTCCTCCTTTTCGGAGGTCATGCACGATTATTGCAACGAAGGCTCCGCTGTTCGCTCTTTTTGACCTTTAAGGGCCCCGTTTTGTTCTCACCCGCTCGTTCTGCGAGAGGATGGCCTGGGTCGGGCAGCTGGGCCCTCTCCTCCATTTTCCCTGGGTGTATTTTTGCTACTGTGTATGTCCTACTGTCTCCATTTATTCGTACCCATTTACTGTGTTCATATTCATGTTTATACTTATACCTGTTATCTTTTACATGTTTCACAAACGAAAATAAATAAAATAAAAATAATTGCCCGCGCTGCTCTTTCTGTAAAATAGGAGTGCAGTGAAACCTAGTTTTTTAGATCCAGTCCTGGCTTCTTTCTGTTCTCTCTGACCCTGAAAATAACAACACCGTTTTAAGAATCCGCTCATCAGTTAATATGACTGTTAATTGTTGCATTATTTTCGAACTTATGCAAAAGCCTGAGAAATGAAGGGTCCTCAATAAAGGAGGCTAGCACTGATGATGTTACCTAGTTTGAGTAGTGAAACGTCTGCAAGAAAACAACCAAGCTCAGAGAGAGCCGTATGCTGATCTTGTATTCAGGTCTTTTCCTGTGTAAAATTGAGATTGTCTTGGCAACATTTCCGTGAGGTCTCACTCGCCATTCTCAGGCTGGTGTTTTCGGCTTAAAGCGTGGCCGGAGCTGCCGTCTTTCTTGGTGGGGTGTGTGTGGAGTGCTGGCTTTGTTTCAGTAAGTGTAATTTTGAAGGAACCAGGTTAATCTCCAAAACTGAACATTTCAACAAGAGAATAATTATGGAAGCTATCGAAATAGAGAAACACCCCCACAACATGAATAAACATGACAATACCTCCCGCCTACCAGGCATCTGGAAACCAGCCCTGGTAAACAAACGAGTCCTACCCACCACCCAGGCCGTTACAGCACAAAACAACAGCGGATACACAGCCCGCACCAATCAGCACCAATTTACCAATAATGATACAACCACACATCCAATCAATCCACTTACTGAAACAAAGCCAGCACTCCACACACACACACCCCTCGTTGTTTGGCTAGGGCTGGTTTCCAGATGTCTGGTAGGCGGGAGGTATTGTCATGTTTATTCATGTTGTGGGGGTGTTTCTCTATTTCGATAGCTTCCATAATTATTCTCTTGTTGAAATGTTCAGTTTTGGAGATTAACCTGGTTCCTTCACAATTAATTTCATGTCCTGTAGCCTTAAGGTGCTGGAAAAGGGAGTTTTGACAAGTTACCCATGTGGGCAATTCCTAGACATGC